TGTCTTAATTTTCATGTGTGGAGCAGTTGTTTTGACAGATGGATGGACTTTATTTTTGTAACCGTCCGGGAAAAGTCTGTGTAACGCAGTCTCATCAGTGCTACATATCCCTAATGTTTGTATTTGAATCACTGTGCATTTGGCTCCTATAGTTTTTTCCTGGGCATAGAAATTTTCTCCCAAATTTATTTTGCAAGGCTAATCCCAGTATGCGTAATACTTCTGTACATTAGTTTTAAAACACTAGGAACCATGTTAAAGATAAGATGGTTTACCACTAAAGAAGACAAATCATTGGTCCTCGGGTGTGGCCTTGGCTTTTATTGACTTTTGACTGCTAGACTTTTCTTTCTAAGCCAATATAACAGTGGATAATGTTGTTGGCCTCAAGTGTATTTCAATAAAATAATAGGTCAGTATGGTTCCCTGATTCTCAGGAAATCAACTTGTTGCTAAACTTGTCTGTATATATCAACTTAAATTCCAGAAAGGATCAAGGTTTGAAAAATGAATTCATTTGAACTCCTTGCACTCTTTTTATTGCATTGTAAATCCACTAGTGCTGAGCAAAGCAGTGCAGACTTAGAATGCCAAAAAGTACATTACATTCTGAGCTTTAAGAATCGTCATGGTTCAAGAAGAGGTCAGAAACACTCTTCTTCTGTCTCCCTGGAGCAGAAATGTGTGAAGTGTGTTTCCTTTTTCTGCCACGCTTCCTTCTTTTTTAGAGGGATGGTTAAGCTGCTTCCAAATAAAATGAATATCCTGTTTTGGAACACTCAGAAACCCTGGCAGTAACGAGCTAGAGAGTGAAGGCAAGAGAATTGACAGGATTGATATTCTTTTATGTAGGTTTTCTGTTTAAAGAACAAATCCTTACTAACAATATCTCTTTCAAGTGTTTGGTTCTTCTCTGTCCAGTTCTTTTAATTCAACGTTTCCTCCTCCATTATGTTGATGAATCTCCTCCCTGCTATTTTAAACCTACTTAAAAAGTATTTCCTTCAATTGCTTTGTTTCAAGTGTCTTAACACACTCTAAGCCAAATTAATTTCCAAGTCCAAATTCTCTTTGCATCAACCTTCACTTTCAAAATCATATTGAGCTAGCCCCCAGGGCATGGCATCAATACAGCTGGCTGCCAAGTGGGTGAGTTCAGTGGGGAAATGAACAGGACCATTCTAGGCCTTAGGCCAACAGGGTGGGTCCAATTGCTTTATAGCTCAGGTAGGCTCAGTTATCAGCATTCTCAGTGAAGTCCTGTGCCAGATTTCACAGCTGTAGCCCTGTTGTTGACACTTTTCTAGCAGCTTTATAGAAGCGTTATTGCTGCAGTATACTGACTTCTCCTATTGCAGTTAATAGGGAACAAATTAAAATTTTTTTATCCGGCATGTTTCAAATCTATAATTTTTAGAAATTTGATGAATTTTTTCTCCTTAATTAAAACCAACTAGTTTCTGTGGAAAGAGCCCAGTGGCACAGTGGGTTAAACTTTGGACTTTTACCAAAAAGGTTAGTTGTTCAAGCCTACCAGCTGCCCTGCAGGGACAATATAAAAGAGTCTGCTTCTGTTTTTTTTTGTTGTTGTTGTTGTCTTTTTAACAGTTATTGGTGGCCCAGTGGTGAAAAGCTTCACTACAATTCCGAAGTCACACTGTTTGAATCCACCATCTGCTCAGCAGGAGAAGGATGGGTAATCTCCTCTCGTGTCTCTGAAAACCCACTGGAGGGTCAGCTATGGGTTGGTTCTGACTCAATGGCACAAAACAAGAACATTACATTTAGAGCTCTATGGGGATGCTTTCAATCAAAATTAGCTTAATAATAATAGAATTTGGCTTAAGATTTTTAGTATTTCCAAGGAATATCAAATATAGTTGTAGAAAAAGTGCAGATTAATTAGCAGTCAGAAATAAAGACTATGATATTACAATTTTTTGACCAGTAGGTAAGGAATTGCACTGCTATTTCAAAGGCAGATGACTTGAATTCACCAGCTTCTTTCCTGTGCAACTTAGAGTCTCTGAAGAAAACCATTGGAAAGACAGCTATGAGTAGGTTCATATTTGAAGCAAAGAGTTGTTTTGTTTGTTGTGCAATTATAAAACCAGCATGAACCTTCATTAATCTTAGCAAGTACTTGTCTTCACACAGTATTTTCTTCCTTTTTTGTAATTTTTTTTTATTTTACAGTGGTTTGCTTACAAAGTTTATATACATTGTTTTTCATACTGTATCTTTCTAATTTCCTTTACACACCCCATCCTCTACCCATCAAATTGTGCCACCTTATCATTAACCCCACTACCCCAGCCTATCCTCACGCCTCTCCTTCTACCCTCTCCCCCCTTGGATCCTCATACACGTTTTAATTATCTTTCTATTTCTATAATATTGGTCTGATACAATATTTGTTTTATACAGTATTAGTGACTGAGTTAGTTCATTTAGCATAATGCTCTCCAGTTTCTCCCAAGTTATGTAGTGATTAGGTTTATACTTAGACAAGGATGGCGAAACTTTGTCTTCACATAGTTTGGGGAGGTTGGGAGGAGGTACCAGTCATTGGAAAAAGACATTATGGGAAAGGCAGAAGGTCACAGAAAGACTCTCAACAAGATCAGTTGATACAATTAATTTGACAATAGATTTGAACATATCGGAGATGGTGAGAATGGCTCAGTATAAGGCAGGGCTCAGGCCTGTTAGTCATGGGATCTTTCTAATCTCTGTAATTCATGGGCACCTAACAATGAAAAGAGAAGTGTGCCTGATCCATACCATAAACTTTTCAATTACTTAACTACAAGCTAAAAGTTGGACAATGAATAAAAATGACAGAAGAAGAAACAATGCCTTTGATTTTGTGCAGCTGGAGTAGAGTGCTGAACATACTTTAGACTCCCCAAAGGGCTAATATGTCATGAAAAAGATGCAGCTTTGGAGGCACGGATAGTGAATCTTTGTCTCACTTACTTTGAGCATGTTGTTAGAGGGTTCAGACCTTGGAAAAGGACATCAGGTTTGGAAAGTTGGAGGATCAGTGAAACCTCAATGAGATATCCTGACATAACCCTGTAAAGATGGGCTTACATATGTCAGAGAGGGTGAGGCTGGCACAGGTCAAGGTTCAGAGTTATTGTTCACTTTGTCCCGTTGTTTGACTCAAAACTCTTTATCGACAAGAATAGAAATAAAGTTGATAACCAAAATTACTAGATTATACTTGGAAGTTCTAATAAAACTAGAAAACTTGCATTTTTGAACTGTATTACATGTGTATCTTCTAAGGAAAGGTACACAAACTGAAATCCTGTTCTTTTCTAAAATGAACAAGACATCCATCTGGGTCTGACACTGTTATTTATTAGAATGTTCGCTTACCAAGATGTGCACACAGCCAATTTCTTGGTCTCAACATATGGTGCTGAAACTGGTTATTTACAATTTTGAGTACTATAATATTGAGTCCACAAGTAGGGATGGCTGTCTTTATATAAAAGCAAAGTATGTGGCCACCTACATGTTTTGAACAAGAGATGCCATAAAACATTTTTCTGTAATAATTTCTTTGCAAATGACTCAATTATTTTAAGAGTACAAATAAATCCTTTGGGTAATATTCATGAATGCCTCATTTCTAAACGAGTTTATCAGATGTCTTCCTTTTGACGGCCTCCTTCCTTTGCCCCAGTGTTCATGTCCTATCCTCTTGGGGAAGAGGGAATTGTTGCCAAATGGGGAGTTTGTTGTTAAGATCCTGAAAGTTTTGTCCTTGGTTAGCAGCACAATATGTAATGCACTATACTACTATGTGAGCATACCAACCCACTAACTAGTTTGGTTGCTAACACAAAGTTCAGTGGTTCGTATTTACCAATGGCTACAAAGCAGGAGACCCTGCTTTAACGATTTGTAACCTCAGAAATCTGATGGTGATTCCTTTCGAGTTGGAACTGACTCCATACAGTGTGTTTAGAATGTGTAGAAAGTATCATATGGCTCTGTCCATTTTCTTTCTTCTTACTTAGAAGACAAAATACCCAGGAATGTCTTTAATTTCCTTAAATAATAATATGACTAGATTTATTTTTTTCTTATGAAGTTTTTCTTACCTTGGGTGCATACTTGTAGGCAGGGATCAGGACTCTGCATATGGATTTAGGATATCTGTGAAACTCTTGTCCATATTTGCTAATTAAGGATTGATTCTACAGAGAATTCATCAAGAGTCCAGATATCCCCAACCTGAATGCCTTCCCTCTCTCATATTCAATATACCCAGCTTTTATTTGAGGTTGAAGGGACATTTTTGGTAGAAAGTAGCTCCACTTTCTTAGGCTCTCTAGAGTTTATTAGCATGTAACTCTACTGAAGTTCAAAGTCAGCTGCTCAGCATGATGGGTTACTAATATTTAAGTTTCATATCTATTAGAAAGTATATTATCTTGTTTTCTTTCTTAATCTTATAATTTCCTTAAAGTAAACTTGAAGTTTAATTTTTGCAAGGAAATGGCCACTGTGGGCTTCTTTAATTAATTAATTAGTTAAGTCTATATCTTGCTGCAGGCTCTCATATCCGGAAAATTCACTGGTAGATTTTGACTATCTGTCATGTTTTTCTTCTTTTTTTTTTTGAAATAATTTTTGAAAAATTTAATGAAACTTTATTAAGGGGTGAATGTTATGAATATTATTTATGAAAGTTATGAAGGGATGTATTATATTTGACGTTGAAAGAATAAGAACTTTTGTATTTTTAACCTAAGTGGTAAATAGACCATAGCATTTACTTAAAGAGTGTGAGGATTTGAGGGGTTTCCTCCCACTTTTTTCTTTTCTTACAATATTAATATGGGCAAAACACTAGCATAAACTAGTCCTAAGAATGTGGACAGTCACCAAAGAAATGTGTTCAAGCATGTCGACCCTCGAGGATACTTCAGTCAAGCTGACCACCAGACATCACTTGTTTTCTTTTTTTTTTTCTCTTACAGAAAGAATGTGCTAATTTCATCAAAGTGCTTACGGCTTATAATCAGACTCACTTGTACGCCTGTGGAACTGGGGCTTTTCATCCAATTTGCACCTACATTCAAATTGGATATCATCCTGAGGTAAAACTGGCTTTTAAAAAAAAATGGTATTTGACCATGACCCTTTTCTATTCAAGTACTTCATTATTAATTTCTTCAGCTCATTTAGTTGCTGGTTCACTATTCAGTTGAACCTACTTCATATTCAAAGGCTATTATTAATTTTAATCTGTGATCACAAAAATAAAAAGCATGAGACTACCACTCAACAATGATGTTGGAACAGGAGGGAAGAAGAAAGTGTTTGGTTTCACCCTGGATTGGAGAGACCAATCCATTTTGCATGTGCAGCAGATGTCAGCAGGCTGAGTGTACACCCTTTCTACTTCATTTGTATCTTGCCAGCTCTCTCTGCCATTTCTATCCTCAGCCAGAAGTGTCTGCCACCCCAGTTGTTTTCTTCTGCATGAGGATTAAGAAACAATGCCATCGATCTACACAATAGTTTGATCTCACATTTGACCCAAATTTGTGTCCTTACTTGGCTAAACTTAGTTTCTGTATATTTGGTATTTTCTGGTCTGTTCAGAAAAAAGAAAACTGATGCTTCTATAAGTCCTGTACTCGTCCTTTGAAAAATGTTTTTGTGAGAAATCTAAGGTTAAATGCAAGGTTAATGAAATTCATTGTGAGGAAAACAAGTGTAAGAAAAGGTGCTAATATAAGCATAAGTTAGAGAATTGGTTTATCAATAGTAAATTTAGTGAGCTGTTTTTTGTCCATAGTCAATAGCCTTTTATCAATAGTGAATTATATAAGCCTTTTATATATTTTTTGACACAACATTTTGAGAAAGGTAAAAGCATGCATGTGCTAAGAAAATAATTTGTGATGTAATTTCCCCTAAATGGATCCCAGATGTTCTTAGTAAATAATTGTTGTCAGAAGATTTCTGAAATTCTAGAGATAAATTTACGTGTTAGCTGTGTATTTATAACCTAAACCTAGAATCTCTAATGCTAAAATTTTCTTAATGTGATATAAATGTGTCATTTTGATCTAAAGACAAGGAGACCAAAATAGTTTGTATTGTTCTTCCTCCCTCTCCATCCTTCCTGTTCCTCCTTCCTGAAAACTTACATTTAATTATTAACATTCCTAAGATTCTTAGGTACAAAGCAACCTTAATGGCAGGCAGTTTTACATACATTCTTTAAGTGATAATGATGAAATTAAGGCTTCTTATTATTGTACATGGTTCTGGAGATTTTATGTACTTGAAATTTTTTCAAGATCTTTTGATATCTCTCTCCCTCTCTACTTTGTTCTCCATTATTTGTATAGTAAATCTTGTAAAATAGGCCTGGTTTTGTTTCACTGTTTTATATTATAGAATTGACTAGTTCTAGAGAACTTCTTTTCCATTATATTACACTTTTTTTTTTTAATCTACTAATGTCAGGCTATATGGTACAAAGACGATTTAAGTTGATAGCCTAGGTTAGTGAGAAAGAAATAGACTTTGTCGTTGCATGATTTTCTGATCTTGTTCTTTTGTCTACCAGCTCTAATATAATATTCTAGTTGCAGCTCCACTCAGTTATGAAAAGAATGTTGAGAACCATGGACCACTGGGAGGGGGGAGGGAATGTTTCTGAGAATTCATTTAATAAAGGGGGGAAAAATCAAACCAAACAAACAGAAGCTTCCTAAACTACAACTAAACAAATACCCTTTGATAGCCAATGTCTACATATCTTAAACTTTACTTCCAACGGCCTTCAGCCTATTTTAATAGGGCTTAATTTACAGACTTAGTTTTCTATAGAAAATTCTAATCTCATGATCATGAATAACCTATCCTCTGGCTTCTGATAATGTGCTCTACCTTTATTTGATAGTAGTTGCTTGGTCTGGAAGAAATTACTTAATCATTTTGTGTCTTAATTTGCAATGTAAAAAGTTATGATGAAAAGAACATGATCTTTAATGGTATTTGTGAGAGTTAACAACCATTGCCTGAGAGACCATGAGTACTGCAAATGTCAATTATTGTTTTTTAATTATAAACTTATATTGTAGACCAAAGTTCATTGTATCTCTGTTGCTTATAATTGAGTGTCATGTTGCCTATTCATCAGAAATTGTAAATTATAAATTCTTGGATCTTAGATGTTGAGTGATTCTGTGCTTTTCTTAGTTTTCCAGTTTTAAATTTAAACTGTTCAGATTACTCTAATGGACATTTAAATGAAAATGACATGTATTGCTTATCAGTTTTCAAAAGATGTTAAAATTTGTTTTGGTTATTGTCAGGCATTGTTATTTTATATTAACCACATATTTCCTTGTCTGATAATCAATTCACTTTACTGTAGGAGTGAATAAGCAGGGATAAGGAAGTGTTGGTGCCATGCCATGTACCCAAAAATATCATCAATTTAAATAATAAATGTCTAAAGTTTCCTGCTTGAGCTCCTTTAATATGGGAGATTGAGGAACAAGTGCTTTCCTGAGACTAATTGCCCTTGAGAAAGGCCACATTGAGAAACTCGGTGATCTTGACTTAAATATCATGTACACATTGAAAACTATTGATCCAAATTATTGAGGAAATTGGAAAGAAGATGATTATGCAATTAGTTGGGGGATTTAGACAATCAATCCAGGATTCTGGAAAATATATTATCAGGGCAGGTTGTCTAGACTAATTCAAATTCATTTTCAGTGTCTAAACTGCCTTAACTGAGACCCCACTTTAGGGAGATAGATGGTGTTGTTAGGGAGCTCTAGTGGCTTAGTTGTAAGGAATTGTGCTGTCAACCCAAAAGCATGTGGTAGGTTTCCATACATAAGACTTTTTTCCCCCAAGAGTGGTGCCTTCTTATGTTATTGTTGTTATGTGCCATTGCGTGTACTGTGAATCACAGCAATCCTATGAACAACATCTCTGAACCTTGGCCTATCCTGAGCTAACCTCACCATTTCCAACACAGCTGACCCCATTACCAGTTACTATGTCAACTCATCTCATCCAAGGTCTTCCTCTTCGGCACTGACCCTCCAAGCACAATGTTCTTCTCTAAAGACTGCCTTCTCCTGGCAGACAGCATGTCCAAAGTATGTGAGATGGAGTTTCAGAATTCTCGTCTCCAAGAAGCAACCTGGTTTCACCTTCTCCAAGATAGATCTGTTTGTTCTCTTGGCCGTCCATGGTATATTCAATATTCTTCTCCAGCACCATATTCAAAGGCATCATTTCTTCTTCTGTTATCGTAATACATTGTCTAGCTCACAGATGCACAGCAAATAATTTATAAGACCATGGCTTTTTTCAGGCGCATCTTAGTCTTTAGACTGACACCATTGCTCTTTAGCACACTAGAGAGGTTCTTGACAGCAGATACAAGTCATCTTCCATTCCAAGGGTGTTGATTGTGGGTCTGAGCAAGATGATACAGTGAATAACCTCAATCTTTTTCTCTATCATGACGTTGTCTATTAGGTGAGGGTGAGAATTTTTTGTTTTACTGACATTGAAACACAATCCATATCAAAGGCTGCAGTCCTTGATCTTCTTCAGCAAGGGCCTTAAATTCTCCTCAGTTTTGGCAAGGAAGGTTGTGTCATTTGCATAATATAATTTGTTGATGAGTTTTCCTCAAATGAAAAAGGTTAGCTTCTTAAATAATCTATTTAGCATAGATATTGAAAAGTTATGGAGGAAAAAATACTCCTGATACACATGTTTCTTGGTTTTGAACCAGGTAATGTCCTCTTGTTCTGTTCATAACATCTTCTTAGTCTAGGGACAATTGTTCACAACAGCTTCTTGGTTTAGTTACAAGTTTTGCGTGAGAGATCTGGGCTTCCTATTCTTCTCAATGCTAGCCACAATTTGTTGTGATCTACACAGACACCTTTGCATAATAACTACAAATAAACTACAAATAAACTTCCTTTTGGTACTCTCTGCTTTCAGCTAAGATGCATCTGACATCATCAATGATATCCCTAGTGCCATGACCTCTTCTAAACCCAGCTTGTATTTCTGGCAGTTCTTTGTCACCATACTATTCTAATTGTTTTTGGATAATCTTCAGCAAGATTTTGCTTCAATGTAATACTCTTTATATTGTTTAATAATTTCTACATTATATTGGGTCAACTTTTTTAGGAATTGGAACAAATATGGATCTTTCAGTCTGTTACCAGGTAGCTATCCTGCAGATTTCTTAGTACAGCTTAGTGAGCACATTCAGGACAGTATCTGTTTTTTTTAAATATGTCAGATGTTATTCCATTAATTCCTGGGGCTCTTCCCTTCCCTCCCCCCCACCCAGTTTCTTCAGAGAAGATTTAATTTCTTCCTTTAATACTGTTGTTTCTTGATCATATGCTACTTCCGGAAAAGGTTCTGTGTTAGCCAATTCTTTTTGGTACAGTGACTCTTTGTATTTGAGATGAATTGTCATCATTACTACTTCTAATAGTGCCCTCATTGCAGTTTCTTCAAGACAGATTTGTTCCTGAGGTTTTTTTGTTTGTTTATTTTTGTACTGGATGATATATTCAGGATTTTATGCTAACATTACAATTCAAAGGCATCAGTTTTTCCTTTGTATTTTTCAGTCATTCATCTTAGGAAAACAGATCAGCAGAAGAGGAAGAATCTGAAAGAGATAGATTGTCACAGTGATTGTAACAATGAGCTTAAGCGCAGATAGATTGGAAGGATGGCGCAGCAGTAGGCATGGTTTACTTCTGTTGTATGTAAAATCTCCGTGCATCAGAGCTGATTCAGTGTTACCCAAAAAATAACATATTTGAATGTGTAATAAGAAAAAAAAATACATGGGCATCTTTTAAGATAAAATAAGGGCACATCTCTTCCTGAATTGTAGTTTAGAAATAGCTTGTGTGTTTGTTTGCTCTTTCTTCCACTCCAGTGAATAAAAAATCAAAAGATGAATTCCTTTATAAAAATTTTGTAGCTTTTAGAAATTGAATCACTTTATCAAAGAAAAATATAGTTTTTTTAATTCTAATGGTGATGTTCATAGACAGTTTAACATTAAATG